ATATATATATATATTTAACTCATTTTAAACATTGGTTGCAGATCTGTGGGTCTAATATGATTGATTGACTCCCACAGAGATGAACGCCAGTTTTCCTGCATGTTCGGTCTTTTCGGTGCGCAAAGTAATTTAAGTTAAAATAAATTCTAATCTGACATTTTATTTTGACCTCAAATTTAGATTAAAAAGCAAATTGGCTGTTTGTCCATTTCTAATTCTTCTTCTTCTGACATTTGATTATTCTAGTGAACTCTTTACTTTATATTTTACTCGTTCATTATGAATCTATGTTGCTCAGAGTGTCTCACGGACCTCAAGGTCACAAACTCTCCAGTCTGATCATTAGTCAGAGGTTATGGCTACTGTTTAATGGGCCGCCTCAGGCTTGCCATTCTTTAAATAGTTGTTCTGTTTAGCCCCCTGCAGTCACCTATGCAACAACGTAGTTAAAAGCTCAAGCAATAATCAGAGGTTATGGCTAGCACTATGAAATATATATGAATCCCCATGCTTGCCAATACTCTAATAGTATTTTTTTATCTAGCCCCCTATAGCTAATCTAACTATATAACATCTTGAATAAAGCTGAGACTAGAAGGTTGTGGCTAGCACTATGAAGTATGCCGAACCATGCTTACTAGTACTCCAATAGTATTTTGTCTTGCCCCTCATAGTTAATGCAACTGCATAACAACTTAACTAAAGTCAAGCAGTTATTAATAAGAATCTCATCTGATGTGCCCCATGCATGCTCCATCTAACCTGATATCTAGTATGTACTTAACCCTGGACGCAGATTTGTGGAAACATAGGCCTTCATCTACTTCAATCTACTTAAGAAGATCATTTCAGAGTAAGTCAGAATAATATAAAATGTGACAATGTATTATGAATCAGGTAAAAATGTATCATGCCAATTATATAGTCAAATCAGAGATAATCAATACATCAAATTCTCAAAGATAGATCTAAGAGTAAAATATGCATACCTCAGAAAAATACATAGCATGGAGTAGGGCTGGGTTTTGACACAAATTTCACGATTCGATTCGATTTTCATTCACAAGCTTGCTCTTCGATTCGATTACCGATTCGATTCAATATCGATTATTTTGGATATATATCAGGTACAGTACATGCCAAATTTTCTAAGGAAAAAAAATATCAACTAATGCTGTAAAATATGCATGAGAGTCAGATGGCACTACATTATTAGCCTACTATAATATTGACCTGTTGAAGTTAAAATAATAAAGTTACAATTACATAATAATATTTCTACTTACTACCATAATGGTGGCTGCCATAAAAACTTGATGGATTTATTCAAACATAAATTAAACATTGAAGAACAGTCAAATTTATAATGCATATGTTAAATGGTGCATATATTTAGCAAAATACCCCTCTTTACAGTTTATTTTCTAACTAATGAGTTTGTGGTCACCGAATGTTTTTCTGAGGTAAATGTGACGTTATGTGACATTGTACAAGCCGTTATTGAGTCTTTGCGCGACTGAAACACTGACTGAGAGATTACATGAGACAGGATACGGATTGTAAAGTCGTACTCTTTCATTTAACTTACCTTCGGATGTTTAGTCATGTTTATTTTGTGCTGAAACTGGTATTAATGTGGAGGAGATGATCAGTTCACGTGCACCTCACTACAGCAATCTGTCACTACACATTAAACAGCGCTAAAACGGCATTTATTGTTTGAATATTGCAATACAATGGACAGAATTTGAAATCTGAGACTTTGTTTCATATTAAAAGTACCAAAGCACAATGCTTATTGCAATATATTAAATGGGATGTGCACTTCAATGTTCCGTCTATTAACTGAAAAAAAGGCTAGACTAATCGATTCTTGGGATTTAAGAATCGATATCGTTCCGTAAAAATGAAATCTATATTTTTTTACCCAGCCCTAGCATGGAGTGTATGGATGCGCTCTACACTGTGGGCTCATCTGACTACAGAATCGCCCGATCTTCTTGCAACATTTCCTTAAGTACTCAGACCAAGAAAAACATCCTCCAAATGGAGACAGGAACGGAAAATTGGAATTTGTATTGATCAAGGCCTAGACATGTTGAGTTTACACCTTTTGGGGACAGACGTTGATTTGCACGAAAGACACTGGGAAAGGACACACCCTTTACAGTGAGCAAAACATCTCTAAACTCTTAGAAACTGTAATACCTTTTAGTCTACTACTTGTAAGATGAGACCATTGTATCAGACAATTCAAATGATGCCAAACCTGACTGTGAATATCACTTGCATTCATGTAGAACATTATATTATGCTATTGACCATTCTGAGTGAAGGGAAGGACGATTATGAAAAGAAACAAATGTGAGAAGAGTTTCCATCTCTCAGTGAGATGTGAAAACAGATGTCTGTATGTTAATACACTGTTTGTATCGTCTGTATCTCAAAAGATTAAAGTGTCTGAGGTTCTTCAAGTCTTACAAAACTACTATATAACAACCAGTTTCAGTCTCTCGACCAGAACATACCATGGTAATGATGACAGTTGAGATTACAGACAAAGTTGAATATTTCATTAAATCCTAATTCGTCATATTTACCATTCAGGCATTAAATGCTTGTGTGTGTGTGTAGATATGTAGCACATGGAATGCCACATTAAATGCTAAGTGTGGATATAACCAGTTTATAAATATACTTCTTTAATTGCACTAGGAAAAGCAATGGCATCAGCTACTATCATCTTTGTTCACATTTAATTCAGGCATTAACAGTGTAAACTGATGGAAGAAATGTGACAACATTCAAAAGGCAGCATTCAAAATCTCCTTTTAATTTGTATATGCACTCCATAAACGTTATTACAAAACTCAGCAAGTTACCAATATTACATTTCACCATACAGGCTTGATCACAAATATTTAAAACCTTTGCAACAGATACAACATAAAATAATACAAGAATAATTTACATGAAAATCTATAAAACAGCGAATAGTTCACAATTTTTGTCTGTACTTTTTTTTGCCTATATGTGTTTTCCACAATACCACAACACTCTCACAACAAGTTAAGTTTCCTCTTACAAAACTTGCAACAAAATGTAGTTTTTTTAAAATGCCTTTTCATATTTTTTTTTGTTTGTTTCTTAATATTTTGGTTTTTAAAACCAAAAGCTTGTCATTATACATCCTTTTCACTGCCTACAGAGGCACAAAAAGGTTACTCACACACACACACACACACACACACACACACACACAAATACTTCACAGCACTTTCTAAGAAAAATATGCACTTACAAAATATCTTACAAATTGGCACAGAGAAAAATATACAATATTTTTGTGATGGCGAGAATTAATTAAGAATCCCTCTGGTATCAACTCTAGACAATATTTATAAAGCTCAATAATTTCTCCAACAAAAATGCAAAAGCAATTCCAATTAATGACAAAGAATTGTGTTGTGAATACATTAAACAGAACCATATATTGTACATTCATAAAGAGAGGAGTAGGGTTTCATTTCTTATAATCCTTGTGTCATAATTACTGGGTGAATACAGTTACCCTCTTAGCACCAGTAGGAGGAGGCAGCTTAACAGTGGCACGTTGTAGAAAACTTGAAGTACATTCAGTTGACAACAGGCAGAAATGAGAGAAG